GGAGTGGATGGTACGGGCGATGACAGTGTGAGTTAGACAGGGGTCTGTGATCGACTTCAGCCCAGCTAAGTAATCCAATCAGGGGGACTTTGTTGTACGAAGGAGGAGTTAATATGAAGAGGGACGCCAGGCATAATGATTATTTGAGCGAGAGCTGCTAACATAATGGATAGGGGCTAGAGTTTAACTGGAAGCTATTACATGGACTGGACAAAAATGAGTTTCACCAGTCACTGAGTCACTGCTACCAACCCCAAGCAAAACATTACTCATGACAAAAGCTTTGGGTTCGATGGGCGATAAAAAACTCATCCCAGATTTTTTGGCGTGACGAGATTGCGGGGCTTCAAGAACACTGGGACAATGCTGGAGGAGCTTATGGAGGAGGAGCAAGAGAAGAGTGAGTGCTCGTCCAGTTACAAATGGCAATACAGTGCTCACTATTAGTGAATTTCGGGTCAACTGCAACAGCGAGGCACATATAACTGGTAGCTGTACCACTGCTAATAATAATGTTTACCCGCAACTTGCGGGTGGCATGCCGTTTGGCATGATCATAAGTTTACGGTCAGAATGAAGCATGACTGGGGGATTTGTGGGTGTGCGGATTGCACGAAAAGAGGACAGTGCCATAAACAATGGGAAATATTTCATAAAACAGTAATAAAAGGTTTCCTTTCCAACTTGTTGGGAACAACGGGCATGAGGTCTGACTAGTTGAAAGACATAGCCGACTGGCATGAGCTAAAACAGAAAACCATTGCTGGGCATGAGTGACCTGTGTAAATGGCCGGAGTCACAACGAGAAAAAGTGGAGGCGGAGATAGAGTAGTTCGAAATGGGAGCACATGGCGAATTTTGTCTCAAAAATGTGGTTCAATCTTGAACTAAGCAGACTCGGTGGTTGCACTGTTGTAAGGAAGTCTGGCGCAGGGAATAGGTTGGATGGAAGCAAGTTGCTAATGCATGGAGCGACCCGCACACCGTATACGGATTTGAACTCGTGGAGAAGGCAAGCCGAAATTGCAGCAGAAAATGCAGGCTAACCATATCTGAGCGAAAATTCATCGGCTACGGAAAAGATCATCCCAGAGACGGGGCCGGGTGAAAAATATGCTCTTAGTTGTGACTACAGGCTTGAGTGGTCGAGGGATTGAGGTCGAGATTCTAAAGAAAATAGTTGTGGGAGTGCCATCTCACTGAATATGACAGTGCCATGCCATCATTGCACTGATATCCCTCGGTTTATGGGCAGTCCCGTAACAGTCGTCAAGGGTGCCGCGATCGAGGAAGGGATACGCAGTTCCGTGGCAGCTGGTTCTCGGTGGGACGGAGATTGACACAGAGAGTCAGGCGGATGCAGACTCATTGATAATTTTCTTTTCGTTGGAGGAGCGTGTGAGTGTACACCAGACACCAGCCAGTTTGAATGAATAGCAGTTCAACGGGGCGTTTGGAGGACTGCAGTCGAGGCTAGAAGCTTGGGAAGCGGGGCGACGAGAAAGAAATAGAATGAAAGCATTAGCGCGTGGTGGGTGTTAGGAGGCATAAGATACAAAGTCAATAGAAAAAATCTAAAACGGGGTGACAGCAAGCTAAATGGACTCAAGAAAGGTGAATACGTTTGCTGATCTAGAAGCCAAGTACTAGTTGGGCAAGTGTAGGTGGCTAGTTTTAGTAAGGTGAAACCTTTGTCGTTGAATTAGCTAGCAGGGAGGCTGGCTGTTGGACTAGTTAGAATGGGCGGTAGTTTTTGGCTTATCAAAGCATCATGACATAGGGTCCTTGTTGTGCAGAAAGAAGGGTTAGTGTGGACGGTGACAGTAAACAAGTAAAAAGCGAACAAGCAACAGCTTTCCAGATAATTGATAAGAATCGCAGCTTCGCTGAGGTCTACTACGTCAGCCTTACAGGAGAGTAAGATTAAAGATCACTAGTCGCCGAGCCACTTCTGTCAACTCCAGAAAACGAATGGTGCATGGCAAAAAACAGCAATCAGGTGCTAGCTGTGACTGCGTGTAATCAGGAAACTATAAGTTATTAGCATTTTGTGCATATGATCGCCCTAGAAGACAGGAGAGAAGAACGTGTGTGCCATGTTTGGATGATAAGGTGGACTTGGGGTAGTGTGACCCAACTAAGACGGAGGCGGCAACTCCTTGGACGTCGACGTTAACCGGGAGCCTCATACAGTGCCCTCAGGTTACCCCATGCACATACTTTTTGAAACAAACGAAAGGACAGCTGTCATTCGCTTGTATTTCTTGGTGTTGCGAGACAAGTAACAACCCGAACAAGTCCAACCCAGCTACAGACAAACAGCAAAGGCGCTCTTCAAGTGTTTAGGGTGTGTGAACCATGTGTGAGTTCCTTCAAAGATGAAGTCAGCCTCCAATATCAAGCTGGGCAAACGGGAGAGAAGGGCGCGTAGCAGGCTTGTGTTGAAACCAGAAGATCCCAGGACTGTTGAAAACATTAATTTTTTGGGCAAAATAGAGGGGGAAAGGCCCAGATGTTTTGACGTTCGAGCGAGTAACGTATAGACGGTGCACACACAAACAACTGAGGATGAACGGCAGACTAGCCCGAAGGGCAAAAAGCGAAACAGGATGTGGAGTGTTTTCTCGGCAGTGACTGTCAGTAGGAGATACGCCCATTTCGGCTATAGAGTGTTTGAGTCAACCACCACTATAGCGGAGGGAACTATCGGAACGGAAGAGTGAAGTCCCCAGGCGTGCTGGGAAGAAGCCACGTATCCGTGATGCATATAAAGGCTGGATAAGCCGAAACGGCTACAGCTCGGATGTGATGCAATTAGGGTAAAAGAGAGTGTTTGTTGATTAGAAGGACAGACATATTACTAGGTGATCAAAGGGAGTAGGTAGGATAGCCAGTAAAAAGTAAAGTTGATAGGCCCATGGAGGTCAGTATGGAAGGGAATAAGGAGTCAGGAGTTTTCGGATTGGTGGGCGAGCTGGAACCAGTTAGTCTTGTGTGAGAATAAGATGCTGTAACACATATTGATTAGTACGGTGACAGCGTTGTGTGGGTGTGCAGGTAGAAGCGGTCCGTGGACAACAAGTTACAGGCTGGGTCTAGTATTTCTCCATAACGGCTGCACCACCGGCATCAGAGGGTGGTATCAAATGTGGCAATTGAACAGAAATAGAAAGAATGAGGTTACTCAAGGTGGATGAGCCGGTGCAGTACTCAAGTATGGATAGATGAGAGGGTGTGGAATGGGCACTATTTGGACAGGAAGAGCTGTCTTGTAGTCCCTTCAACACCAAATGGTGGGGGGAGGATTGTAGGAGTAGCAGAGCTGGGCTGATCAGCGGAGATGACGCAAGAGCCTTATATTAAAAGATGCAAGATAAGGGGAGGGGACAGTGTGTTGCAAGGAAGCTATTGGTATAATCACTCTCTTGAATGAAATAAATGGGCTTCGCTGGCGGTGGAGAGGTATCCTCTGCTTTGGTTGCAGTGGAATGGGAAGGCGAGATGATTAAAGCAGGGGCTTCACTTAGCTTCGAAAGAGGCGGGGGCTGTGGTGCAGTAGGTGATCGCCCAAAAGAGCTCTCAGGAAAATAATATGCGTGTGGCCAGGGTGGAAGAACTTGACTGAGACCAAGATAAGGCAATGGCAGTTGTGGAAGAGGGCGTTACAATAAGGGGCTTTGACTGTAGGTCAGGAGCCCGAGGAAGCGCTTTGGTGGGAGACCGGAATTTAGCTTCGAAAGAGGCGGGGGCTGTGGTGCAGTAGGTGATCGCCCAAAAGAGCTCTCAGGAAAATAATATGCGTGTGGCCAGGGTGGAAGAACTTGACTGAGACCAAGATAAGGCAATGGCAGTTGTGGAAGAGGGCGTTACAATAAGGGGCTTTGACTGTAGGTCAGGAGCCCGAGGAAGCGCTTTGGTGGGGAGACCGGAATATCATTAGGATAGGCGTTCTGCAGCGGTGGCCTGTGTTGCCATTTGTGACTACGGCCTCGGGTAGGAGATGATGAGGTATCGCACCATCTACCAAAATGTTTGTCACTGGGAGCCTTGAACTACAGTTTTGGTTCTGAACGTCTGACGGTCCATGGTTGTCCTTCAGTTGCAGCGAAGAAAGCGGGAAATTTGGAGGCCACTAATTTTACCAGATCGAAAAGCTTGACGAGTCATCATACAATAGCGTGCCGGTGAAGCTGGTCCCCTTAAATCACCTTGCCAACAACAAATCGATATCTTTAGTGCAACACGGATTCCTGTCAAACCTTTTTTGCGTGATGAACACGCTTGCATTTATGGACAGCTTAACCCAAGTTAAGGACGAAGGACTCCTATCGAATACCGCAGTTTTCGACTTTTCAAAAACAATCGAGAGAGTCTCACACGTTTCACTGCTCCAAAAACTCGAATATTAAGAATTTTTAGGGGCATTCTACCCTATGATAGGTATTTTTCATCAGAGAGAACATTCCAGGAGGAAGCAGACTTGAGTTATTTTTTAGGCTTCGGTCTATGTTGTAATTCCCCAAGGCTCTGTTTTGAGACCATCCCTCCTTCTTATCTACGTCAACAACCTCCTGGATGTCCGTTCAAGTCTCCGTTCACTATTTTGCAGATATTTTAAAATCCTGGGATTCAAATGCACTCTCTCCCGAATGACGAAAAGTACATCCACATGTCGATCAGAGGAGATTTAAAGAAAGCTTTTGTCTTGCATGGTGAGAATGAACCAGAAGTCAGTACGAGGAAGTATACCAAAAAGGATTGGGATATCTGGCTTTCTTCAGACTGTCTTCCTCACCGCTTTTTCAAAATTGTCTTAAAGGGCGTCCGTCGAATTACGGATGATCAATTGGCACTTCCGGATGAATTTCCAAGTACTCTATTGAGCCTATATAGGTCCGTTTCTTGAAGATGGCAATCAATCACCGGGTTTGATTATGTTCGAGACTAGCGGAGCATTTCTCCGAGATTCAGGTGATATCGTCGTTCTCTTTTGTATCCAGTACCTGAGCGGAGCCGGCGGTACCGTGCTGCAGGCGAAAATCGGCATTGTGCAAGCATGTGACAATCAAGCTTCAGTTGGAACTGGTATCCGATGGTGGAAGAGTTGTAAGAGGGTAAAGAAGACTGTTGTGATAAGTTCATTTAACTTGAATGTGTGCCAGCCTCGGTTGCGAAGCTAATTCGCTCCTTACGCTGTCCTGAATAGAGCGGCAACTCCAAATGGGATCATAGTCAGGGTCTGCACGGGAGTTTCAAAACGAACGCCAGTATGTTATTAATCCACGTCATCGGGAAATGATGGTATGTGATCAGTTTGGTCCTTGCTCATTGGAGGGCACCATGTAACCGGACGATTTTAGTTGTTTCCGAAGCTGTTACTGGATAAAAAATGGTCAGCACAGCTGCAACATTCATTCGCTGTTTTCTGTGCTTACCAACCCCGGTTTAGTTCGGCCACCTAATTGAGTGTCAGATGCGCTACGTCTGTCCACTTGTGCATTAAACTCTCCGGCAACCGCAACCGTATCTGAGCTTCCAGCCCACCGTAACAGGTCGCTCAGCTGTTCTTAAAAAATATCTTTTATGGTGTCGGAGCTAGTCAGTTGGGGTGTACACAGCCACGAAAAACAGATAGCGATCAACTTCCCGTTTGTAAAACTCCTTCACATTTGTTGTTAAAAAAACGTTCAGCGGTAACACCCTTCCGGTGCCTAGCTATCATGCCACCCGAAGAAAGCACGAGAACCGCGATACTACAAGGTTGCCCAAGCCTAGAGAGAAGTCGGGTTCGAACTACAGACCTTCCGGTCAGTTAATTCGGGCTCCCAGGACGTCGAATGAACAGAGGCACATAGACGACTATCAACCGGTATTCGGTCAAGCAAGAATCCTTCGACCGGCGACTTAGGATAATGCCGACCACCACACCGCCTGTTGCAATGGTTTCGTTATCTCCGGAGGTGCACAGCTGAAAGCGAGTTGAGATTCATGGAACAGCAATCTCAATGGTTATGTTTGGATCTGAAATTATTGTTTCTGATACGCAACACACACCTATGTCAGCCAAGTCCAGTGTGAGAGCAAGAGCAGGTTGTCCTTCTTGCATCAGAGTGCGGACATTAGAGACAGCCAAATAAACTGGACATCGAGGCTTGAAGATTGATTTCGAGATACATGAGGCTGTCGACACCAGCTTACCCGCAGTTTTCTCGACCAAAACCAGTTAAGACGAATGGGGTCGTCGGTCCTAGTGGATGGCCTCACAAGAAGAGTATCATTAATAGAGTGATGTACTGGGGATTGAAAATGTGGCAAAGAAAGAAAATGTAGTCTGTTGTCGTTCTTCTCCCTGGATGTATGCAGCAAGTAAGCTGACCCGGCTGATGGCACCAAGCGACGGCCGATGTGACATGAGATTACTTGTAGTTGTGTGACCCATGGTTGTACGCTGGCTGGACCTCAACTAAAGTCTTTGTCTCGAAAGCGGGGCGACAAGACGGAGTATACCTTCTTTGATAAAACGTCACCATTTTTGGCACAATATGAACACTTGGTTATCTTCCCGTTTCTTGAACTGCATTGTAGTCTTTTTGGGTTAACTGCACTCATTGTCCGTATGATATTTGTGAGGCAGAGTGAATCCTTATCAACCTAGTTTTCTATGTGGCCGGTGACAAAGTCGTTTTCGAAAACTACATTTGAGGGACCGAATTATATTCTGGTATGTTCGACATTCCATAATATGAAGAACTGGGTTCGAACTGGGTCCTCATGCTTCCATCCGGTGGCGTGGCAGCTAGTCACCGATTATTATTTTGCCTGCTAGATCAAGAACAAATCCCCCACCTCTGAAACTGCGGCTCAGCCCTCAGCACCTCCATTTGGGTGAGTGTAGTAGCCTTGGCATCTGCGTGACTTTGGAAAGGAGACAAGATAAATGTTGGTGCCCGGTTAGGCAGTCATGGTGAGCAAAAGACTAGCCATTTCTGCGTGGCTTATTAGTGTTTCTCTATCTCACGTATAATAACACCTCAGACTTTCCACACTCACGTTTTGCTTTCACATCTGGGGGGAACACAAGAACAGCAGCAATCCCATCAGCCGACGGTTCGTGCAACAGATTGGTTCCTAAACTGTATGTTTGCTCGTCCAACAATATACGTGTTGTCAGTAGGGAGTGTCACATCCGTAAGTATGTCATGGTCATTGAACGAGCAGCTTAGGGACCTGTGTGTACACGTGGGGCTATACCCTACTCAATGAATCCCCCTTGATAGCCAGTTGCGTACCTGAGTCACTATCTGGAGCTTAACCTTTCTGTCCCATCACGAGCGGTATCGTTGACAACCGCGACGCGAACCAAGATGAGAGGCCCCTTCCTGGACACTGGGTAATGACTCTTTTACTACTGCTCGAACTCCCGTTCGTGGTACCAGTATCCTCCGCTTGAGTAATCCACAGTCTCCCACCCCGGTGCTCGAACTATCTAGTTTTCGTATCGCTACTTATTCTCGCCCTAATGCTACATGCGATTACATCACAATATTGTACAAACTCTGTTCCCTCCGATCAGTTTCAAGGTCAAACGCTGTCTACATTCAGCTTTCTAGGAGAAGACCGTACAGTAATTGTTGAACCGCGCGCAGTCTGCAAACAGCAAGAGAAAGACTGGAAAACTAAAATGATATGATAGGTGATGGGTGATGTGATAGGTGCGAGGTGAAAATTACTGGAACATGAGATAATGTCCCAAATTGTCCCTAATCGGACTGAAAACCATAGTGTAAACTTAACAATAGCAGTACAACAGGAAAAGCAGTTCCTCTGACTAACGTAGGCCCGCGAACTAGTTATCGGTTAAACACTTTTGTCATTATCATTTATTTTCATATATGATGACTTGTGTCTGAGAGTAAATTGGCTCCTGCAGTGTTCCGGTTAGGTTCCATTTATGACTGACGACCCACAGCACGAGCTAAAGCCAATCAGACCATGGTCTGTTACTGAGATTTAAGGACACCAAACGGCGACTTAGGTCGCAGTTGTTCGGCGAGAACCTTGAGATGGGACATATAAGGTAGCAGAATGTACGAGGATGCTCGCTGATGTGGTTGGTGAGGCATCAACATTAGACTTGGTGCATTGGATATTAGAAGTCCAAAGCCTTTACCGAAACCAGCTTGCAGGTGGTTGTACAACTAGTAGGTTTCTCATCGAAGTTCGTTATCCCGAACTTGTGCCAGGAATCGCCATTGGTTCACGGCCCTCCCCGCCCCATCGTTTGCACAAAATGCACCTGGGTGATAGTGTGCATGCACAATACCCAGGCATTCTCTATTGTTTTTCATACTGAATCGTGCAGCCACCGTTTGTCCGCTCTTGTCATATTAAGCTATAATTCTGCATCTATACCAGTGGTAATCCTGGTACATTTTCTGAGACTATGTTAACCTGGCTTGCTTGCAGGTGGTTGTACAACTAGTAGGTTTCTCATCGAAGTTCGTTATCCCGAACTTGTGCCAGGAATCGCCATTGGTTCACGGCCCTCCCCGCCCCATCGTTTGCACAAAATGCACCTGGGTGATAGTGTGCATGCACAATACCCAGGCATTCTCTATTGTTTTTCATACTGAATCGTGCAGCCACCGTTTGTCCGCTCTTGTCATATTAAGCTATAATTCTGCATCTATACCAGTGGTAATCCTGGTACATTTTCTGAGACTATGTTTAACCTGGCTTTTTTCATAGCGTTTTGTACCTGTTTGGCACCTTGCTTGATTGGAAACTTGGGGAGTCTATAAAGCTACGGGTTACTATAAACCGGTGAATGATGTGCATTGTGTAGTTCGCGCTTCTGCAATATACCATCCGTCGACCGATTTTGCATTTTTTCCGTTTTAGCCTGAAAACCGAGTTTCTGAAGGAGGATCAGCACTCGTTTCACTTGATAATCCTCGGCATTGAAGTGCCCCGAAAAGTCGGCAGGCAAATGTCTTGCACGTCATCGTGGATCAAGTATGGCAGCCTGGCCTTCCTCACTATCCAGACTACTTGTTTGGTGTTATTAATGAGAGTGTCTCGAACTACCGATGGCCCCCGTTACCTGATTTCCACTATAGTCGTTTGCGCGGAGGTTTCCAAGTTACTCGCCTGTATTCTTATGACCTTGGTCGGTGAAAGTAAGTGAAGCACTTTCGTGGGCAATTGTACCAGCATCTATGGACGCTTATTCGTCATACGTTTTTGAGTATAGTCTTTAATCAATTTTGACTCTTGTGTCGACTGACGCGAGGAATGTCTCGGGAGATTCGGTTACTTTTTAGTGATCGACTAGAATTTGACAACTGATTTCACTGTAGTTTTCGGGTATTTCATGTGCTGAACCAATTGGTCACTACAATTCCTATTCGCCATGAATTTATTAATAACGCGTGATTTTACGGTCAACGATAGTGTGTTTCATGTGACCGCCGCCGACTTGTTCTCCGTTTCTTGTTGCTTGCTTGTTCTTTGCTTGAGGATTAAGCGTGAAAGATGTTACTTGCACTTGAGTTAAGATTACTAAACTTTTGCAATTGCACCCCGGAGTGTTGGTTGACAGAATGTCCGGAGCTTGTCCCACTTTATCTGTCACGCAAGCAGAGTCAAAGCCGGAGGTCCTGCAAAGAACAAAACAGATGTATTGTGCGTCTCATATTTGCATTACATGGTGATCTGTGAACTATGGAAAGATTTCTACTCTTACTGGAAGACTGACTCACAGTCTGACGTATTGATGTACACATTTCAGTAGGTGTCCAGTTTGGCCCCGAAATAGCCTAGTAGGTAACACAGTGACCCTGGCTACAAGAGCCTATTTTCACACAGTCCATTCTTCAAACATAATGGACTGACAAATACTGAAGGCAGTTAACTGCAATGTACCATAGGCATGAGTGGTTCCCATTCTCACACAAAATAGCCAGTTTGACGCTCCTCGAAAACTAAAAATTCGTGATTTCAGTGCAGGCAACCTTTCTTTTTTCTGCATTTTTCTATCGTCATTTGAGTGTTTTTTATGAGCAGTTTTTTTTATAGAAAGTAGATATACTGATGGTACTTATTGACTGAACAGTTAGCAATATCTTTTCAAACAGTATGGTTGATGAAAGTCTGCATATAGCGATAACTGAACACTGTCTCCTCATTCTTACTGACTGCGATGGCTGACAGTTGCGTGGAGACTAGGATGTGGAATATCCGGAATTTCATATATCTGTAGCTACTTAAGCTATTTTGACTAGAATAACTTGTCGCAGTCCTGGCAAATTCGTACGCATGTGCTGGAAATTGAGGTACAGAGTTGACCTCACCTCCTAGACATGACTACCACTTTCCGTTTTGTTCTTCTCACTCTGTTGAAGACACTTTCCATTACTAATTTTCTACTCGAAATAGAGGAGGAGTGTTTGTTCTGTATGAGCCAGGTATCATTGTCGTTTCGTCTTTCAGTCGATCAAATCTTGATCCAGCAAAGAAAATAATACTGAATGCTGACTTTACAGACGGAGGTCTTGAGACGGTTGACTGCACCCATCCATTAAGCCAGATGGACATGAACGTGCTCCGTTAGTTACACATGTTCTTTCGTTTGATGGTTCGCCTTCCACCCCGATTATTTTGCTTCAACTTTGATTGATTTTTTTACATTCAGAAATCAGGTTTACTCGGAGCATGTAATGGCTTGGAATCAGGTGCTTGTTCTCATACTGTTTCGGGTGCGGCACCCATAATCTACGTTGTAACGCTGTTAGTTTACAATTTCTGGTGATTCTTATCGTCTGGAACAGTGGCTCCAAACCTGGGTTGCAAGAAGTTTTGCGCGTCATCATGGCTTCTTTTTAAAACTATAGTTTTCATAGAAGAATGACCAACATGAAACCAACATTATTTGTACAGATAAAACACCTGAGGAGCCTGACTGTGAGTTTATCCTGAGATGAAAATGCAATAACTTATTTCTTAGTGGACGATTTTCTCTCACCAGTTGCATTTGATGTTTCTCGACTTTACTGTCGAATAGTTCGGTGCTCACTTAGTTTGAGAATTATATGCAGCTGAGGATGTCGACCAATTTGCATCTCTAAATGCAGTATGAAGTTGCCATTCTAATGTGATTTTACATGTAGTATGATCTAAAAAGATGCTTTCGCGGACTTTCAAGCGGGGATTCCCATCTAAAGCTAATACTTTGTGCATAAATTTTTCTTTACTTAAATTAAAAGTACGAACTTTTATACTATTACGAGATAAGGCCCAAGAATTTCTGCTCTAATGATGAAAGTTAGAGGTGTTGAAAACATTACGCGACTTAGTCTTTCTTGTAAGGTAGATGAACCCAAAGTTTGAGAATCGGAGGATCTCAGAATCTCTCATAGAAGAATGTCAGTGGTGCAGTCGTGTTTCTCATTAGCGACCAACTCTCGCTCATCTTGCACATGAAGATGGACAAGGATACAAATTCGATTAGAATGATGTCAGCATACTGGGCCAGGCAAGAACAAAGAAAGGACGCGAATCCATGGAGACGTGTTACTCCACTGATGGAGCAATAGACAGACACATTGAGATCGATCCTGCCTACCAGCCTCTGAGGACAGAGGAAATTCAGGACCACAAAACCCCGGAGCCGGACAAAGATTCAAGGACGAAATCAATAGAACTACAAACTACTAAAAATGGGAGGTACACTACCAAGCAATCAAACAACAGAGAAGCCGACCACCACGCAAAACAGATCACGAACGGGCTAACCAGTAGAGACAATAATGAATGGCATTTTCACGTGGCCGTAGAAAACAAGAAATACAAACCGTAACGCAACGTAGATTTTGATCGGACCAACCAGAATCCAAGTACGATGATTGTCAATGGCCACTCAGGTTACAGCACAAATGCTGCTCTTTGTAGACTATATAAACGCGGGTACGAAGAGAGGACTACCCAATCAGCAGCGCTTTGAAGATGTCTCCTCGAGTGGTGACAAAACGTTTGCAAATCAAGTGATAAGCCCAGCGAACAGATCAACAGCCACCTGATCACTCGCCAAAGAGATGTGATCACCAAGCGGAGTGGGCTAGGATGTCAGTTGTACTGGAGAAGCTGGGTCGCACAGTTCATTGTGGTATTCAGGAAATCACCATGTAATGGTCGATGTTGTGTGAGATTAATTTTTTGGTGTGACGCGCTTGTGTGATGGCTAGGATATTGCCAAGAAGACGATTAGGATCATCAGCCTGCGTTTGGCTCAAATGCTTAACCGCGAGCCCCAAGTATTCGGCTTACAAACACATTATTAGCACTAAGTATGTGTGATGGGCCATAGTATGTGTTCTCCCGTGTTTCTCGGGGCCATCATGCTCTACCTAGGTCATTGGTTCCTAACTCCAATCGCGACTGTCAGGACTTATGAGATTCTTCAGGTTCATTTTATCAAGTAAATAATGAATCCCGAGCTAAGTAAACTATTTTCCACTTCCTACAATCTAATTATATTATGTAGTTCGACTGTCTAGCTATAGTTGAGCTCATCACCTTCTCCAAGTTGCGCAGTTTTTCTTTTGCGTGAATGGATTTTCAGTACCCATTCCTGTTAATGCCAAATCACCCAGTTATTCGGAAAAAAAGCTCGTTTGACGGTGTTTTTCTTGGGTACCGGATTGCTGTAAGTTAATGGAACGATCGGAAGGAACTTCCCGTCAATAGTGAACAGCAATCCAAAGGGTGATTACGTAAAAACTCATTTGCTGTGTCAACTTTACTGGGCTACTGGCTTGTTCGCTCTTCTCTACCCGCACTTGGGTCCTTTCCGAAGTTCGTGTTTCAGTGGGATGAATTATCGCGCGTAGCATGTGCAGTAGTGTTGCGATTGATGCTGTCAACTCAGACAAACTCTCCACTATCTTGCAGTCACGGCTGATTGTCTGTAAATGGATGAAATTTATCTACTACCAACAGCTTTATCTGGTACAATCCCACTTGATTTGCAGACCTAAAACTGTCGTTTTTCGACTGAAACTTGTTCCACTTAGTTTTATTCCGAAAATGGTAAAACACACAAGTTTCTCTCAATTTATTACGCCGCACGTCCTGTTTGGGAATGTGGAAGGAGGCCGTATTGATATTCTTCTGTCTCATATTTTCTCTCGTATGCTAATTACTTATTTCTGGTGAATCTGTGTGGACAACAGGTCAGCGTTTGCTGGTAGTATCAAACACAGTGTGTGGGTTCTCCGGGTGTGCACTGTAAACAGCCAGCTACGAATGCTCTAATACTTTTCGGTTTACAACGCTGCATACAACCTTATCTCTCGTTTGGATTCTCTGTTTTGGTTAATTACCTAACTACCCACCACTACCTTCGGTGTGGGCCGATCATCTGATCAGTGAAACCAGCTAGATAACAAAAATCGAGAATAGAAAACACTAATGATTCGACACGCGTTTGGAATAAATTAGTTCGTCCTATTGATAGCTAGTGGGTTGTACCTTAAAACGTCCGAGTGGCTTATTTATTCGGAGGCTGCTCCGACGATTTCAACCCTTGACGCGGTGTGGGACCTTGCAGGCGCACGTAGTGTTCAGGGTAGATGAGTTTTGTTTGTCATTGCATGACTGCCCATGCAGAACCACGATGACGACATCCCAGATCGGTGGTTTAGTCGTCATTGTTGGTTTATTGGACCTTTGCTGCTTGCTGGTGCTGAAACGGTCCTGTTACGTCATTGCAGCTAAGGGGCGAGATGGCCCAAGTGGTTGGAGCGCGAATTTACTGACCAAAAGGTCCGTGGTTCGAACCCGACCTCCGCTTCTCGACTTCCCCTGTCTAGGTTTGGACAACCTGGCAGTATCCCAGCCTTCGTGCAACCTTCGGGTGGCATGGCAGTCAGGCACCGAAAGGGTGCTACAGCTGGACGGTGTCAGTATCGAGAGATCTGATGAATTCTTCCAGTTTTCGAGAAATACACTCGTCTGCAAATCAATCTGGTTCTCACGGGAGACTCTATTGAATCTCTCGTTTATGATGTTCTCCAGCTGAATGTGCTGCACACAGGCCGCCTCATGATTCAGTTGGCACGATCTTCGAGATATCGCAGTATATTTTCATAAAGGAAACTACTCACAAGGTTGCTGAAAACTCTTCGACAGCCCCAAGAAGGGCGAAACCGGTCGTGGGCTGTCGAAGAGTTTTCAGCAAGTGTGTGAGTAGTTTCCTTTATGAAAATTCTTCCAGTTGTTATGACGCGAACGGTTGAACTCCTGTCTGTCGGCGTGAGTGATGAGCAGATAATCAGTTCGCTTTGCTAGTTTGATGAGTTACAACCTAGCGATAGACTGCTGAATAACAATTCAATAATGCACGTTGTCTCCCATCACACTCGGAGAGGTAGTTTTGATGACTAGCTGCTGGGTATGCTTCCGAACGTAGTCAAGTGCATGGAAGATGGGTCTTTTATGAGCTACTGTAGTTAATATAAACTTCTAAAATGCCCCGCTAGGACTGTGTAGCCTCCTTGTCAAAGCGACCTACTCAACTTGGTCACCCGTCATAGAGACTACTGGGTACGAAAAATTCTTGGCATCTCATATCGCTTTGGTATTGAGTTGATGATGGTAAACCCCTGTTGTAACACCACTTTGTCAGGCGCCTTCTGAATTGTACGTCAATGTTCGTTTCATTTGGGTAAGCAGTTATGTGGTGATCTGGGTGATTGACATAGCAATAGATGTGGTGCAGTGCCTGATTGAACATTTTGTGACAGTTCTTCGATATGGCTTCAAACAACCAAAATTATATCCGTTCATCATCCTACGACAGCATCGACACATTCAGCACTCAAAACTGCAATGTAGCAAATATGAGGACATATGTGTGTATCTAATCAACGTGAACTAAAATATGTTTGGCCATCTCCAACCTTTCCAACCAGAATTCAATCTTGCGAATGAGGTCCATCTTTGTTTTAAAACCGAGACGCACTATAGGCTTTTCATACTTGGGACAGGAAATCGTTTGCCTATGCTAACGGGCGACGAAAGGCGAGTGTCATTGTAATGACTGAGGATATGTTGCGAATAGATTGGGTTTTTATCAGTTTGGCTGCCCACAGCCTGTATGAATCCGGAGAGCTACACGGTAACTACTTCATTGGTTCCGCATAAAATAGTGCATAGATATTTGTGGCGATCCATTCTTCAGAAATGAGTTCATGTCTTAAAGAATTCTGTACTCCTCTACGTCGACGGATGTCTGTTGTATGGACGTTTGCAAGTCTACTTTATTTCTCTTGACAGGACACTCCTTATAAGGCTGATGAAAGTTTGACGGCGTACTCAGTTGAAGATTTATATAAACAAGAGTCGAGTCTTCCGTCAAAACCAAGTTACTTTGCTGATGGATGGATATCCTCACCTATCTTGCACTATTCAGATTATTTACCCCTTTCCAAGCCCCCCCCCCCACTTAACAGTTCACCTACACTACTGTGTTTACGCACTAATTTATCGGCTCCCGCCTCCAATGCGCAGCTACCTACCTCACCTCCTTGAATCATCGGTGAACAAAACTGTGGCAGCCACAACCACTGTACGACAATTAAGCGTTATTACAGCAGACAATGATGATGATGATGATGATGCTGAGAAACGACTGAGGTAGCTCAGTGTCGCGAAAGACAACTGATCTCTTTTAGGGACTTCGTCTCAAGTATACAAACTGAAGCTCTTTTGTTCGATGTCGAGGTTGAAAAGTACAATCACAGTCAACCGATGATTTGCCTGATCTTAAACTTGCACACTTGTGTGACATTTCAAAATGTACGGAATGAGTAGAAGCTGGAATGAAGTATGAAATGTGAAGTCCACATTTGGGAGATACTGCGGCTTGTACTTATTAAAAAGAACTCGTAATTTTTGAACCCGAATTCCCATCGTGAATAGAATGCCTAAGCGGTCATCATTACTGCTACTGTCAACTTCCAGTCGCTCTCTAATGCATGTGTTCATTACTGCCAGACTTGAACCTCGTCCGGTAAGCCTATAATGAAAATAGATGTTATGAGACTAATATTGCGAGTACAAAGTCAGCGTACTTCCTTCCGCCCTGAGACGGATATCATTCGACCACCGGATATTTGTCATTGAATAAAAATCTACGGGGTCGGCATTGGACGACAAGTGATTCGGTTTCACTTGTCAATATTTCGGTTTAATGTATTGCTTGTATATATCTCACTGCCTTATCAACATGAGTCAAGAGCTCGAGATAAAGTCAGCGTACTTCCTTCCGCCCTGAGACGGATATCATTCGACCACCGGATATTTGTCATTGAATAAAAATCTACGGGGTCGGCATTGGACGACAAGTGATTCGGTTTCACTTGTCAATATTTCGGTTTAATGTATTGCTTGTATATATCTCACTGCCTTATCAACATGAGTCAAGAAGCTCGAGATAGCTCATTGGTTAAGGCGCAGACCTACCGGTCGGAAGGTCTATGGTTCGAATCCAAACCTGGCGTCTCGACCATTCCTGTCCAGGCTTGGACAGCCTGGTAGCACCTTAGCCCTCATGCTTCTTTCGGATGGCATGGAATCTAGGAACCGATAGTGTGTTACGGCTGAACACTTGTTATTTATTATTTTCGGAGTCAATAACTGATGCCTGTGCTGTATATATGCCTCTATCATCGTCATACTTTTGCCCTCCTCTCTCTCCACCCTTTACAGAAGGTAATTTTCACGCGGCTGCTAAAGTCATCATTGACCAAGTATTTGTGAACTACTTGGACACGCTCCGTGTTCTCATTCCAGCCGCCTTGTACGTCATACAGAACAACCTCTTATATGTGGCCATTTCACATCTGAATGCAGTCGCGTATCAAATCCTTTATCAGTGCAAGATATTTACGACTGCGTTTTTCATGGTTACTTTGCTGGGCCGGAGGCTTATCCTTACTCAGTGGATAGCCTTGCTCTTGTTGTTCATCGGCATCATCCTCTCTCAGGTAGGTTGAGCGCAGTGCATCACCACTCATCTCTTATCATGGCTCTCATAAGTGAGAGTTCCGTGTTTTTCCTGTATATTTATAATGAATATTTTTAGTTCCCTTTGTCTGATGTATTCGCCCGAATCGCCAGCTCACTCTCCTTAGGGAACAGTCTAACACACTGCCATCCGTTTGAATCTTTCGGGGAAATTTAGTAGAAATTTAGTAGCAAACAAGTGCTATTTTCTGTGTGTGGTTCTCGGGCAACTTGCAACCTTATCTGATTGAATAGAGTAACCGAATCCAACAGTAAATAAAAGTAAGTAACAAAAACCACACCAAGGTTTTTGGCCGAAATATCAGTGTCCTGCTTCAGGTAATCGGGCATTTCTGGTTTTCATTCGTTACCGATAAGTTGGGTTTCGTTGCGAATTGTCGTAGCACGCAAAGTCAGGTTTGCGCAGCTGGTTGGATAGCCAAGCGTGAAAAGCGTTCAGCTGTAGCACCCTTCCGGTGCCTAGCTGCCATGCCACCCGAAGGAAGCACGAGGGCTGGGATACTGCCAGGTTTCCCAAGCCTAGACAGCTCCACTTAGTTGAGTTTCGTTCATTTCGTCTAGTAGGATGGCTTTGCCTCAAGTAGGAGGTGTGCAAGTAGTATCTAATGTTGATTTAGCCCCAAGACCTACCAAGAAATTTGACCTATGCGGAAACAAAGCATACTGAAATTCAACACTTATTGGATTTGGCCGAATATTTTGTCACACGGAGGTCTTCCATCATTATTGACTCGCGTCGATGGACTAGATACATGATTGTGTTTGTGTCGTCCAGCTGTAGCACCCTTTCAGTGCCTAACTGCCATGCCGCCCGAAGGAAGCATGAGGGCTGGGATACTGCCAGGTTTCCCAAGCCTAGACAGGGGAAGTCGAGTGGCGGAGGTCGGATTCGAACCACGGACCTTCCGGTCAATAAATTCGCGCTCTAACCACTTGGGCCATCTCGCCCCATAGCCAAGGCAACTACGAGCTAATTTAACCTCGGTATGAGTAGAGTCGATCAAACACACAGTAGTTGAACTGGAATAGGGCTGTATGATTCCCCGGGTGAAGCAAACAGACAGTCGCCATGTTGTATGATATCTTGCGTGAGTATCCGAATAAATATAGACTAAAGCTATCTGAAGACCACCACAGATTGTCGCATGCTCAGAATAATTTTCGTTCAAAACTTATTCTCTCAACATCTATTCGGAACTTTCGTGTTATCCCCTCGGCTACATGGTCGCCTTTCAAGAGCAGGCAGCTAACTTTAATTGAGATCTGGGTGTCACTTGTTGAGTGCTTTTTCATTCAAACGGATTGAGTAAATTCTCTGGTTGAAGATAACATCCAATCATTTTGACTCGGTTTTCGTCACACTGTCTAACCAATTTCTCATGTTTCATCTGTCGAATGGTGTTGAATGGTGTTTCCCGTTTTATGTGTTTACTTTTCACCAAAGTGTGCGATCATTTCTTCTGCTTAGTTCAGCGCCTAGGTATCTCGTGCATTTCAAGCTTTCCAGATCTAACGGTCAGGTTTGATTGAATTTAGTCAGTATCTCGTGGGTTCAACTAGGGTAGAGGTGACGGACCAAACAGACACCCCATGACAACGCCATCTTTACTTGTACAAACTTGTACCTGGGGTCAATGGCCATTTCAAATCTTCCGTCGAGATTCAATTATCCAGACCGTTGATCTGTCGTTTTGCAAACTGGTAAAGTGTTAGGCAGTGACGTAACACCAAGCGAAAGTATTTGCGCTCAGTTAATTTATGATCCCAACGGTTTGTCAATAACATGCGCAATTGGCTCAACACTTCTGATTAACTAGCCTTTAAATGCGTGATATAGAGTGTTCGAGTATTTTGTGTCGGTCACAGTGGATAATCTGTCGCGGCCCACAGCCAGGTTTTGTGTACATCCATCCGAATATGGAGTATCGTACATCAGTCTCACTAGGCGATTGCCCGATAGAATCCGTGAACACTTTATTGATTAGTTGGCTGCTGAGTTACTCGCCAAGCGTGGTATTTGACTTGCAAATGTTTTGTCAACTCGAGGTGTTTTCTCCTCCTATACTTGCGTTTACATACTTATTAAAAGAATATTCGAAATTCTTGGCCCGTCACACCCCTTGCTTTGCCATAATACCGATAAATTTCAAAATTGGCGGTCTCATTTGGTCGTAAAATTATCCGTTGAATTGTAGATGTATGGTTAGGCCAAAGTTAATCGATTTGTAGATGTTGTCTTCTTCAAGGGACTCGTTTGAAACTCCACGGCTCTTCAGTAATTCAACAAATTGTCTTGACGGAATCGGGGCCAATACATGAACAGTGAGTACACGTAGAATGGTCCCATCATTTCAATATCCACTCTTATGTTCTTCAGTTTATCCCAAAACCATTTGCTTACTGAGCATTCGCATGCACTGCAAAGGTTTTCTAACCTTCCCCATAGTTCTTTTAAAGGATAATGTATTGTTGTTCTTTAGGGCCATTTGGTTGGCCGCAGTAATGATGTTTCTGTGTACTTTGAGGACCCGTATAAACGGAATATTTGAGTCTTTCAGTCTAGTTCTCCGATATAGTAAGCACATCAGAAGCTGGTTTGGCAATTTGCTTGCAATCGTTTCGTCACCAGTCTTGGAGACCTTATCAGTGCTTGCGTTTTAAAAGCTGTGTGAACGCAATCAAGTATGGAGGCAACACTCCTCCCTCCTGACTGCGTATTAGTGATGTCCCATGGTCGGTGACGAAACGTTCGGAGGCATATTTCTAAGCTGAGTGATTAGATCAACAGCCACTTGATCTGCAATCGATTAACGCACCTGAGCTACCAATATTTCGATATATTGTCATTCTCTGGTATTTATCTTTTCCGATCATCAGCAGATTTCGGAGTCGTTTTAAGTTTTTGTTGACTTTGTTTGCCGTGTTTCAGATTTTGATCGTTTTCTGGACGGCTGTGTACAACAGTGTTTTATAGCACAGACTTTCTTATTTGCATAACCCGGTTTGCATATGGAAACTTTATCAGCTTCAAGAATGACAGAGGTTTCATCTTTCTGTGCGTTGTCAATACATTCCTTTTTTCATCCGAAAAGGTATTGAGTCGTACACTGGAGATGTCCCTGGTGTAGTGACAAAACGTTTGTTAGTCGCTTACCGAGCTCGGCGAACTTGCCAACTAATAACTGCTCCCAACAACCAATGTTTCGATGTATTCATCTAACATATCACAGTAGAAATGCTAGGTAGTGCAGTGCCGTTCACTGCGTCCAATGTTGGTAAACAACTGGTGGCCAACGCGAAACCGCAAAGGATCGTTTCAGTCAAATCTTGCCTGTAAATCAAATGTCACCAACTAGTTTTCTCGATGAACTAGGGTGTCTCACATGGACTGCAACCTCTCTGGTAGCTAAGACTACGAGAGTCCACTTTTACGGAACAAGTTGCCGTGCTTTTTCTAGCACATAACCCGGAGGACTGTGACTGCTAGGCGTTGACCAGTCTGGTGTGAGAGACCAGGGCGCTAGGTTTGCGCTTTTCATTATAGCTCAGTCTTAATACGGTCTGGTCCAGCCTCTTTGCGTTGGAGCTCATCAAGCCACCAACGCATGCTTACAGTACTTGTGGGTTCGTTGGGATGCCTCCGACATGCCTTTGACGTTGCAAACCTTGCTGGTGGCAATTATAGCGATTTTGAATCATCTATCACTATCCTCTAACTGGATATTTGGGGCGCTACTTCAAACAGTACTCGTTGGAAGCGTTATAGGTTACCATTAAGTGACCCGATGCATTCATAGCGACTGATTGGAGTTTGAGCAGTTCCCTTCAATTAACCTACCACATCACGTTGAACAACCTCCAACTCGTTCTCTTTCACCTTCTCTCCTTTTTTCAGTGGGATCCCGACTCTAAATCCACCGCTCCAGGCAAGAATGATGTCAGTTACTCATCCACGCTTATTGGATTCCTTGCCTTGGCATGTGCTTCCTTTAGCAGTGGGTTTGCCGGCGTGTATTTTGAAAAAATTCTCAAGGGAACAGCACCCTCTGTGTGGATTAGAAATATACAATTAGGTGCGTCTCACCATATCTCCGTCAAACGCAATTAGTCCCTGATCTCTTCGTCTTTTTTAACAATCTTCAAAGACGCAACAACACTACCAGAACCTCCGTTGTTACTGATGCGTTGGTGACGCTGTATACCCTAGTATTCCCGATGTATCTTATTCTAATCGACCTAATTTTATTTGGTTTCTGACCCGCTTCCACGCCCATAGAGTGGTCCTTACTCCATTGTAACGTCAGTCACCACTATCCCTATCATAGCAGTCGGCGGTAAAGCTGATGGTTGCAAGGTACGTATTGCGCCAAACTCTTGATTGTGAGACATCGCCGAAGCGGTCTGCCATCATAGTCTACTACATTTGCCCCTTGGTAGTGTTTCCATTTCACTTATGGTTCCTTATGCACTCGGTGGTTGCCCTTTCTTTTTGAGTACCTTTGGTAGCTCCCAACTCGTTCACAGTTAAGATTGATTGAAGAACGCTACCAGAAATAGGAGGTGCAGTGGTTCCCCATCTAATAGGAACCATGCGTAGGACCAGATCATAGTGCTTCCTGCTGGGATGGGGGCCTTATTCGTGGGTGATCGACCAAATGGCTAGTCCTGGGTGACAGTTAACTGACAGTACTTGGCTTTCAAAGAAATTACTTTTATCTGTTATTATTTCATTCTGTACTCTACTTTGTCCGTTTTGAAGTGCGATTCTCGCACAATGGGATGCAAAATTGCGACGCCACTAAGGACCGAAAATCTCAAAAATTAAAGCATCTAACGTGTATCGATTCCTTAGTCTTGATTTCAGTCTGCCGTTTCTTTTTGTGCATCTTTTGAGCTTTTTGGTCTGCAAACGAGAAGAACGTGTAACGGTGACTGCTACTGTTGCGGCATGCAAGTAGTGTTTTCTCGTAAATCCGCTTCGCGTCTCCTGTGAGATCTATTACGGAATTTGTGAAGTCGCTCTGTAGCATTTGCTTGCCATTGAGTAACAGTCAATGAATATTCAGGAAAGTTCAGGAAGGCGCGTTCAAGGGAAAGATGGACATTTAGTTTTGTAAACAAGATGAGAATTTGGCTCCCCTGTCCAATAGTCTGTAACTGTTCAGTTGGTGTTGCTCTAATAAACAACTCCGCAGCCGGTCTACTCGACCGCCCTTCGGTTGTATCATTCCACCTATGAAGCTGCATCCCATTTACCCTTTTCGATCCCCGACCGTCTTGAATTGTATAGACGTTCCCCTGGAGGTCGATAACGACAGACAGACCTTGTCATCGACTGCCTAGCTTCCGTGACCCCAGTCCACTCCTTCCAAGTTTCTGATGATCCTTCCGCTTTACCTTCAATAAAACATACTGCTCGCATGCCTCAACAGTAGTATCCACCGCTACACTGGTATAAATAGTCCCCCCTGGGTGCACTAATGTTGGCATGTTGGTCATTTGTCATTCCTTGTGGTCGGACGCTATCCACCAGTGATGGATCGTTCAGCTGTAACACCCTTCCGGTGCCCAGCTGCCGTGCTACCCGAAGGACGTACGAGGGCTGGGATGCTGCCAGGTTACCCAAGCCTAGACAGGGGAAGTCGAGAGGCAGAGGTCGGGTTCGAACCACGGACCTTCCGGTCAGTAAATTCGCGCTCTAACCAGTTGAGCCATTTCGCCCCGCCAGTGGTGGGATTAACTTCCAACCCGATAAATTGCATAGTTAGCTCTGTAAACTAGGTGAAACAAGCCTAAATTTTCCGTACCTTGGTATTTTCCCACAGGCTGTTAGAATAATCTATCTTAGAGACGGGACCCAATCGTCAACTGGTAGTTGTTAGTTTGTTTGGAAACATGGCCAGCAGTAGACTTATGTGTAGAAGGAAATCGGGTTGCGTTGTATCATGAAGCTTATGTTATCATTCAAAGTAGAATGATCTGGCTCGGGTCCATCAGTGCGTTTCAAGAGTACACGAACTGAGACGCCTTGTCTCCCAACTTCCTTCATGAAACAGCATGTGTAAGGCCGCGTGATTTCGTTCGTCAGCCCTTTCACTGATAATCTGTAACCTATCCAAATAGGCTGATTGGTGTCTGGAGGCATCTTTGCGTTTTCGTTTCGTCATTCAGGGGCGGAGTGATTCAACTTATCGATACTTTAAACACTCGCTGCGTAAACATTCATCCATGAGATTCCTCGGGGTAACTATCATGATTTGGTGTATTCAACCATTTTGTACTGAATTTTCGGTTTTCAAACCTATTAGTTAGTTTTGGGAATGTGCATGTTTACGCAGCGGAGCTAGATTTGTCTTTCAAGCGTCCTGCGTCACTAGAGCTAAAGCAGAAATTGACCGCCATGAAAAAGTACTCATATTCTCTGCTTTTAAGGGTAGTCCTTGTTAGTGAGTTGTATGACCGGAATTGCAAAAATTTTAGTTTCCCTTGACCCATCGATTCACAGGTGAATTTCGCGGGACCAGTGCAAGATAATCACTTTATTTTAAGTATTCGCACTTCGGGGGTGGAAAAAATATCGCTTACCATAGATGTGTACTTTGGCACCACGTTTCTCAGATGGTAAGGTCCATATCCAAAAAGAGTGCATTTGGTCAACGAATCAACTGCAAACAATTACTGTCGACTACCCTGTAGACATTTTTAACCTACACACACAGCTATCATTTATGGAGACTGATATCTAGATAGAAAAACAACACTGATGACACCAACGGGAAATATCAATTCATTTGCAACAAGTTCAATGTTGTACACTTAGCGGAAAACTATGTGTGCGAATCAGAACATTACAGTGTCACTATCGGAAAATACGACCTTCTATTCCTGGTCTTCATACCTAAAGACCAACAAAGGCACAAATTCAATCAGGGAAACTTGAAAATCTGGGAATGGGGAAGAATGAGACACGAAAGGGAACTTCAGGAAGCATGGTGCTCCACTTCAGATTTGACGGATTGACTTAGGTACAATTTATGCACCACTGCTTACAAAGGACGAATATCTCAACCAGAGCAGGCGAAGGGTGCCCCCTATTGGATAAACAAAACAGGAAACGGGAATCCACTTGGAGTCACATCAGTAAGGGTTATATTATGGAACCCGGCGAAAGAAGAGCACACTCTAGCACCGACCAGTGGACGAGGGCTGGGAAGGTCATGTTCAAAAACCAAGTGAACACCGAAAATTCATTTCGCCGTGTTCTAAGCAGGTTTCGTGAAGTTGGAATGAGACTTTCCGTTGATTTGTAGTCAGTGCTTCAGACCTTCAGTATTTCTTCCTACCTATGATCCACGTAACCAGATAAAATCTGGCAAACCAGTACAGTGGTCGTCAATCTCTGTTATCTGGTTCCTTGTGAACCTAGCACCGACCAGTGGACGAGGGCTGGGAAGGTCATGTTCAAAAACCAAGTGAACACCGAAAATTCATTTCGCCGTGTTCTAAGCAGGTTTCGTGAAGTTGGAATGAGACTTTCCGTTGATTTGTAGTCAGTGCTTCAGACCTTCAGTATTTCTTCCTACCTATGATCCACGTAACCAGATAAAATCTGGCAAACCAGTACAGTGATCGTCAATCTCTGTTATCTGGTTCCTTGTGAACCAGCGCATCTCTCATTATGTATACCCAAACGCTGTGTCCGATTTTCTTAGCTCACCTTACATGACTGATACGTTAGGTTGTGAACAGGGGTACATCTTATCCAGAGGTCGCAACTGAGGTAACTGTTTTGAACTGCTTCAGGATCACGTTGTTTTTTGTTCGATCTGATTAAATTTTCAAACACTTCCGTATTGAACATAGCTCTTGCGTCAATCCTCTTCATTGTATTTCTGGACTGATGTGTTATTCGAGGTTGTGCGGTCGATGATTCGATGAGCCCACTGTTTTTACTGTGTCAGAGAATTAAACACTCCAATGACTGTTTTCTTTACGGACTCCTTAAATTGTTTTTGCATCCTTCTGCAGCACTATTCGGCATAACTATTGGTTTGTGCGGAGTCCACACGTATGATCGTGAAGCCGTTGCCATGAAAGGATTCTTTCAAGGCTACACACCCATCGTTTGGGTCATCGTCCTTCTGCAGACTTGCAGTGGTTTGGGCATCGCGTTCGTCATGAAATACGCTGACAACATTTTGAAGGGCTTCGCTGCTGGTTTGTCCATCATCCTATCCAGCACCGTATCCTACTTTGTTCTGCATGACTTCACTCCGTCACTGTAAGTGTTCCTTGGCTCGGTCAGGTTTTTTTTACCACAGTGCGAAAGTAGTTAATATTTACTTCAACCCGGTTTATTTCTAATTTTCCTTTGGTTCTTGAGTGTATCGGAAGCGAAGGATTCGTCAGCAGCTCCTCTCAAGTTACTGTTGTTCGTTCTTTTGTTTTCTTTTCCGATTCCCATTGGTCCATACACCACTCTGTTATGTTTGAATGGTGGTTGGTCCTCTCAACAGTGTCCTGTAATGCGTAACATTTTTCTGCTTGCTTTCGTTTTCACAGGACTACTCTTGTAGGAGCTGCACTTGTGATAGGAGCAATGGTGCTCTATGGGTATGTGCCACAGGTGCGGCCTCACCTCCAAAACCGCAGCGAAGTTTGATCGGTTCGTATCCCGACAACCCTCCTCAAATTTGTGACCCTTCTGTCAACCGCTCTGTGATATCTCGATGCTCGTGATAGTATTTTATGCGCTCAACAAAATACAGCTCTCATGATGTGTCAATGATCGCGTTCCTCTTGTGTTATTTGTTCATTGTAACGGATCGTTGCTCATTAGACCAATTAATCAAAGATAATTGATGGCCTGTGGGTACACTCGTATGCTACTTTGATAACCCCGGAGCAGCCACCTATTTAGTGAGGACGCTGAATTTGCTCCCTACGAGTGAACCGTAGTCAGTAGAAGGTTAAAGGGAAAGAGACAATTTGGTGTGATATCGCAAACTCGTAGATGACTTTACTTGTGGGGACCCATAAAATGATAATGGAATTGTATGTAGGACCTTTTTAACGGGATCCAGGAAAATACTAATACTAGCGACTTATACTTTGTTTCGGTTAACTTTGAGGCCGAGTCCGCTTCGATTAATACTAAGCACACTAGTCGCTGATACGAAACGACAAAATTGTCCACGGTTTAAAAGTTCAGAGGCAGGGAATAACAGTTTTGATATAACACCACGTACGAGGTTAATAAAATATCCTCGACAGCCCACTGCCAGTTATAGGAAATTTTGGGGCTCATCAGGGAGGCTCATTTTCCGAATTTTCAACAATCTTCAATCAATTGGAAAAGGTTTTGAACCGAGTGAGAAGTCTATGTAGGACAGACGGCCAGGGAACTACACATCAGAATCAGAGAGCACAGTGGAAAAATAAACAGGCCGTCGTGAAAGGCAGATGAATATCAAGCGTTACTGAAAGACTCGGCAAGCGCGGAAGACGCACTGGACACAAAATAAACTTGAAGAATGTTCAGGTTTTGAGGCGGGGACTACGGTCCACGTCACAGAGACTGATAGCCGAGGCGGTAGAAATCGCCAAGCATCCCAATGTTAACAGAATAGAAGGCGTGAAACTGGCAAGCGTGTGGAGAACGGTCTTGGGTCACTAGGGCTAACACGTGTTGGTATGCGATTATCAGAGGGAAGAGTGGTCACTATCTCGATTCCACTTGAGTATACCCAACTCCTCCCCCAAGCTCTTCCAACAATCTTATTTCGTATGTGTTAGCACTTATGAAGTGCATTGAAGACTCAGTTTTCCGGTCTAGTCGGTCACTGGTTTCGTTTATCCGTGCCTTGCGAACTCTGTACAACAGTGCGGATATGACGAGGCGGCATATACATAAACGACAACAATCTTGGCACACAATATTAAGATACTAGATAGGAGTAGATCCGTTTTATGTCACATTTAGCAGTCGGCGCCTGGCGATCGGAAAATTCTATGATGACGATACGGTATCCTACCCTAGTAGTGATTGGTGATCGCCTGATCAGACAGAAAAGTAGACTTATACTGTTCCCTTTTCCCAAACTCATGATGAGCTATCACCACATCATCCATATTTTTGGATAAACTTGTAATGCTGCAGCGACTGAATCATTTATCTTATCGAATGAGAGTTAGAAGTAGATAAAGCAAAATGCGTAGTTTTTGACCGAAATTCCGGGTTTATAATCAGCTTTTTATCCCAGAGATCCGAATTACTCAATGACTTCTTCACTGCCAATGCACTGGAGAGTTGATGGCTTCATGTGTGTGCATACAATGACTGTCTTCTAGGGGAAGTAAAAAAATCCCCACGTGAAAAGAACCAGATGGATGTTAACACTGACGTGGCTTGATCTAGTGTTAGCCATTAGCTAACCAAAAACACGTCTGTCCCTTCATCTCCAGAACAAACCGTTTCTGGAAATCTGTCACTTTCTGTGTTCCTAAGCTCTTTACAGAAGCTAAGTTGCTGTACATCTCCCCTTAATCCAATGAACATTTCTCCAACATGTTGTTTTACATACTAACCATCCTTAAACAATCGTTGACTACGGTTTCTCCTCATATATGATCTACTTTTCTCTGCAATAAGAAATCCGGTACCGATTGGTATGTCATCTTCTCAGAACCGTTGGGAAAGTAATCGACGGTTATATTGCTGGGCACTGTTTCACGTATGCGACTCGTGATAACTAACTTAAGGCAAGACAAGTGATGCCGGCTGTACCCTATGAGGGTGATTCAAGGGTATTTGAACAGTTGCTGAATATCCACATGTATTGTTGTAAAACCGATAGTTGACAGTATATGTGGATGGGACGTTGGTAGGCATTTTAAAACCACTACAGTAACGTGTACTTTAGGAGTCGAAATAGGCCAAATTGAGCAGCCTGTCCCAATATGCCGATGGTCATTTTGGAGGCTGATGTGATCCTGTGACTAATTACTGTTACGTTGAGAACGAGCGGTACTGCTTTGACGAAAACGAAGCAGGGCACGTATCTAATCCACGGTACCACCGCTAACCACGCTAGTCATGCCGTCCGTGCAATGCGATTGTAGTTACGTGCTGAGCTCTCGCTTTATTCAGCACGGCTCCACGTACCTCACTGATACAGACGCACGTTCGTTGATATTAAAAGTACGGACCAGCTGGATATCAATCCGCCAATTAAATGATCTGTTTTTCGGATTCACATTGCGTCACGCAGCGAACACGAGCTTTCTTGTTTTGTTTCACCTAGGATAGTTGCCCAGTATGCATTCTATCAGGCCATATTGAGCCGATGCAGTTCAGCTAGTGTGATTGTGCAGCTATTTTCCGGTTTTCCTACTCCATTGCGAGTATCCTGTGTGCCGCATTCAGGAAGAATAACTCGGATCCAGTGGCTTGTTTAGTTAATGAACCATGTGTAACAGTAACGGATTGACTTTCCCATTCTCGAATTGATTATTCTTGCTAGTGAGGCGTTTATCGCTGCTGTTAAAATGGCATAGGCGTTAACTGAATGCACCAGAGCTCAGGATATTTAGTAAAAGTGCACGAATTGCTCAGAGCCCTGTTCGTAAACGAAGAAATATGGTATCAGATGCAGCAGTGTTTACCGTGTTAACTGGAAGCATGATTAAAATGAATACAATCTGGATGGACGGAAGGCGTGGAATCACTACTGATATGAACTACGAACAGACTTTCCAGGCTGGTGTGCCCTCCCAGCCAATGGATCGCGGATTAGTAGCACCGGGCATTCAAGATCCTGATGCGTAAATTGATTAGTGTTGTTGGTGGTGTGAGGAGATTTGGAATTTTTGTGGTGACTTCGTCCTGTAAGTGAAGCCAATCTATGCTGAAAAGCCGAGAAGCACAGTACCTCTCGGCTTGTCTCTAACTGCCGGGGCGAGATGGCTCAAGTGGTCAGACCGCCAATTTACTGACCGGAAGGTCTGTGGTTCGAACCCGACCTCTGCCTCTCGACTTCCCCTGTCTAGGCTTGGGTAACCTGGCAGTACCCCAGCCCTCGTACGTGCTTCGGGTGGCATGGCAGCTAGGCACCAGAAAGGTATTACAGCTGAGTGATTTAACTGCCGGTGATGGGCCGGGGGTGATATTCCAGTAAGATAATGCTGCGGCACACAGCCGTTCCAAGAGGCCAGCTGGTCTCGCGACCTTGAGGCATTGGACTTCGGAACTCAACCCAGTGAGAACTGGATGCACACGAATACCTGTTGGGCCGTACTTAAAATATCTACACTTAAGGCATCTTACATCGGGACATGTCTTTTTCAATCCCATTCGTGAATGCACCAGAGCTCAGGATATTTAGTAAAAGTGCACGAATTGCTCAGAGCCCTGTTCGTAAACGAAGAAATATGGTATCAGATGCAGCAGTGTTTACCGTGTTAACTGGAAGCATGATTAAAATGAATACAATCTGGATGGACGGAAGGCGTGGAATCACTACTGATATGAACTACGAACAGACTTTCCAGGCTGGTGTGCCCTCCCAGCCAATGGATCGCGGATTAGTAGCACCGGGCATTCAAGATCCTGATGCGTAAATTGATTAGTGTTGTTGGTGGTGTGAGGAGATTTGGAATTTTTGTGGTGACTTCGTCCTGTAAGTGAAGCCAATCTATGCTGAAAAGCCGAGAAGCACAGTACCTCTCGGCTTGTCTCTAACTGCCGGGGCGAGATGGCTCAAGTGGTCAGACCGCCAATTTACTGACCGGAAGGTCTGTGGTTCGAACCCGACCTCTGCCTCTCGACTTCCCCTGTCTAGGCTTGGGTAACCTGGCAGTAAGCCCGCCCTCGTACGTGCTTCGGGTGGCATGGCAGCTAGGCACCAGAAAGGTATTACAGCTGAGTGATTTAACTGCCGGTGATGGGCCGGGGGTGATATTCCAGTAAGATAATGCTGCGGCACACAGCCGTTCCAAGAGGCCAGCTGGTCTCGCGACCTTGAGGCATTGGACTTCGGAACTCAACCCAGTGAGAACTGGATGCACACGAATACCTGTTGGGCCGTAATTAAAATATCTACACTTAAGGCATCTTACATCGGGACATGTCTTTTTCAATCCCATTCGTGTGGGAACAGGTTCTTCACGATGAGCACTCGTTAGTTAGTGCATTTTAGCAAAGCGCAATAGAGCAACTGAGAGGCTGCGTACATATGGGTTGTCCTATATGGCACTTAGTTCAAAATAATAGAAAAGAGGCTCACGCACGACGGATTCTCAAATAGTTTGTCCGAACAAAAGTCCTAGAGACTTTGCACGATCAGTATTCTCCCCATTTAACTATTGGCAATGACTGCCTCTGAAAACATAAACGAGCTTGTTGTAGTTAGGAAACAATTATATTCTCGCTTTGTTTTTGGCCTAAGCACCATATAATCAACCCTTCGAAATAAAAGAACGATGAATGGTCTCCAATAGCCTTTCCTAGAAAGACAAAGTACTGCAGCACCGGGAGATAAACAACGAGTAGTTTGCACAAAAAGAACAAATTCCTCATTTCTCCCTAGCATAAGCCGCAAAGCGTCACTCTGCGTTGATTAATCCAAAGCGTAGCATACCGGTACGGACACGTAATAACAGCACAATGTTTTGATAATACATGGCAGAAAGACAGGTGGGCTGTTGACAAGGAATATAAATCGCCTCTCCAAAATACTCCGATTATCACGGCGTTACACAGGTGTGTTTTGAGTGTCCATGGTCTGGGGAACCGATATCATGGATGGAAACTGGACATAATTTAGTGATAACTCTTCGGGGCGGTGTCAGACAATTTTCGACCGCTTTAGACGCCAGCTCTGCTGCTTCTTCAGAAGGTTTGCCTGAGTCTAGCAGTGCGAAGTACGTGAGCGTATAACCAAGTCCATCGTGAAGGATATTGTGCAGAGGATCCAGATCGGCCAGTTCATTGTCTAGTTCTTCACACAAAATTTCAACAAGCGGGGCGGGGCTGGGTTTTCCGATGGAGACGAACGAAGACGATCGTGAATTGGAGATATGGGCCGGCAGCTGACGGCGGCGAGGTCGGGGACAGTGTTGGGCTATGCTTAGTCCGCTAAGAGCATAACAAGTGTGGTAGCAGTCAGCATTTTTTCCCGGTTTATCAATCAAACCACCATCTCCTTCAACCCGGCAATCGCCTAATTCTGGATGCCCCTTCTCCGCATCTCCAGGGATAGGAACACTTAGGCCAGGTCGCGTGTACGAAACTTTTTGACAGCACAGGAGTATGTATTCCTGGAAATAAAACGTAAGAAAAGGTAATATTACCTGAATCCTACTTAGAAAAAATACTGCAAAATCACGTAGAAAAATGAGTTTGAAATTCTCAGTCCTCAAGTAGCAAGGAATGAGACAAAATGGTCATTTAAGTACAGAAGGACGCCAAGACTATCAGTTGCACTGCGTAGAAGGCTCCGACAGAAGTATGAGAAGAAACATGCAAGTTCCATCGTTCACCAATTGCCACAATTCTTGTTTTAAAAATTAACTGATGTGGTAGACACCTGGAGAGGGTTATTGGTTTCCCTGATGTTCCTTCGATAAACACACGCCCAAAGTAGCAGAATTTTGTGCAAAGTCACAGTTGGACGATAGACTTCGTTAAATTCCACGTTGGTGTAGGTCAACGAACGAAAATGTCAATAAAGGAGTTCCATTACAAATCCGTTAGAACAGGGCTTTCACAACATACGATTTCTCTCACATCATTTTCCTAGTGCTGAACGGATGACAATCCTCAAACACCGCAACGAGTGTGTAGAAGCCCCGATAAACTGTTGCAATGCATTCGAGGACATCAGCTTTGAGCAACTGGTGGGTACCAAATCTGGCTGTGACCCTCGAGGTGCAATTCACCGGAAAACGATTACCAGCACCCACCACCCCATTGGGTCACGACCTCAGTCAATTAAGCCTTATCAGATTAATTTAAACAGCAAATAGGTTTTTCAAAACCGTGATTAACGACAAAAGGTTGAGAAGCGTCCTTGCACAGCCTTACACTCAGGCACGGGAATGAAAGGTGCACCAACACTCAAACTGATGCAAGGCAGTGTAAAAAGGACAAATGTTTTATTTGAATGTGGGTGCGAACTGTTATGGTTCGCAGACAACTGCTACCATAACTAGTAAATGGGGTACCAGGCCAAATCATGAATCACATGGACTATTTTAAATCCTTTTATTTCGACTATCCCGTTTTGCAATCCACCAGACCGATGTCCCCTACCGTTTAATGGCAAAAATGGTTTCAGTCGAGCGATGATAGCGTTAAAACAACGCACTTGCATTCTCAAAGGGGCTGGAACTGCTTCGCGCTCATCGGTAGATCACGCTTGAATCCCATTCCATTGTTCTGTTTATTCTCTTTTTATCAAGACCCCAAATATCCGTTTCAAAGACAAAGTAACATACGGATTTCCATTACACTGGCGGGACCGGTCAACAGCGTCGCTTCAAAGAGGGACAGCGTTTTGAAAAGGATTCATGACTGAGTGTATGCTCGTGGAAGTCAATGTCTCTTCCTTTTAATGGTTTCGCTGGGAAAATAGTGCAGGTGGTTGCGTTTGAGCCAGCTTTCCATATAATCTGTTACCCAAGACTAGGAACGCTCTATAAGAGGGCAATGACTAGTTGCTGATTTATCTAGATAGGACTGTTGCTGTATATTGCCTGTCAGTTACACACAAACTCTGTGTAACAAATTCTGGATGAACAGTATACAATGCTCGAACTGAAAAGGTCTGCTAAGTCTTCCTATAATTATTTTCCATAGTCGAGAATCGCCGGTTTAATGGTGTGCGAACACGATGTTCCTCCTATCTGAAAGCACTGGGAAACCAAAGTCAACTGGCCATATTCCATCAATTTGCTCTCATAAAAGTAGTCTGTTCCATAAATAACGGCGATTAAGGACATTAGTGTGAAATGAATGCACAATTTACTACTCTGGTGACGAAACATTCTGATAAAAACTCTCAGTCAGTCAGACTTACAGTTGAGCGCTAGTATACAGATCCTGCAGGACAATTTCCTCATATCTATCTTTTTGTCGATCGTCACAATGGCGGCGCTCGACTGAAAGATCTACACACAAGTGCTTTCATGTGGGTTGGCATTCGCCACACAGAACGAGGAGGGATGTTCCTAGCAGTATAAGGTCGGGCTTACCTGCAGGGCGGAGGCGTTGAAAAGAGTTTCATCAGTAAGTAGGGCAGGATCATCTGACAGGTCTAGCAGCTCCTCTATAACTGGGAATAAGGCACCCAACCAGAATGAGTAGCAGCTATCCACAAGTTTGTTGGTACGACCCTGTAAAGTGAATGAAATGGAAAAACAGAAGATCAAATGGAGAAATCCTGTATTGAGAGTGTATTCACAGGTGTGAGGAGGACGAACAAAGCGTTTAGACTAAGACGAACGATATCGACTAGCCCCAGTGTTGAATAGTAAAACTCACTTGGAATCCACCCTCGCTGGCCATTTGTCGATGTGCAAGCCAGCGCAACACGCGAGGGATATCGATCAAATCGGGTCGTTCAAGGAGGCACAAGGCAGCTACGGCGCAGAAGGTGTAGCCTCCGTGAGCTTCGATACCTGGTTGGGCACCAAAACCTCCTTCGTAAGTCTGCCAATATGAAGAATCAAATCAACACTGAGCGGTTCAGGGTTGAGTGCTACATACATTTCAAGACGAAATAACATGACTCCTTAGGTGAACCAGGGCTAGAAAACTAAAAAAAATAAAAAGGAGCACAAGTGGCTTTCACCACATGAAATATATGGGGTATCACTTGTAATAAAAACAGGTGGATCATAAAAATACACCACGACAAAGTATTCCAATCGTTTCACCATGTTTTAGGTGCCTAGGTAGGGTTTCGCATGACGTTCCTCGTATCGTGTTTTGGTGAAGCCCCATCTTCAGCTGTGAAAACAATGATTTTGTTCCCTAAAAAGATAAATTGTTCCTCGAATTGACAACCAGGTTGAGACCAGTTATTATGTTTACGTGGCGTGCTACGTTGTCTTTGCTCCATTTGATCGTGTCTATTAATAGTAGCAATGATTGCCCCAGTTCCGCTCATTCGGAGCAGTCATCCCAAACCAGCGCTTCCCAGCTGAAAACTGCTTTCATGCAACTTATCTATTCATAGTCAATTTCATTTGACAACCGTAGAAGCATCCCTATGTCACTGGTTCCAGATGATAGCAGCTCTGTTTCAAAACCACACTTCAAGACCACTTACAAAACGAAGGCTTTCCCCGATCAATACACTCGCCATTGAACCTAACTTGACCTCATGATAATAACACCATATAATTTTGGTCCCCACCTGTTTAGCGCACCTGTACCCACCATTCACCTTGCAGCAAAGGCTAGGCCCTCTGACATTGGCATATTAACATGTGCATGTGTGTGAACGTGCTCAGCTGACCTAATTACCCATGGTTGTTCATGTCCCGACTGCTGAGCCTGCCCTCACTTATTGTCGTGATCTCCGGGTGATCGCACTGCCAATCAGAATCATGGGACTGGCCTCTGAAGGGATGACCGCAACCCACACTACTGCTCTTCGCTGCTTGATTTGCGGATCCCGATGTTGTATTGTGCCAGTCAGTGACAGACTTGTGCACACGTTGACGCCACGAACGTGGATAATGGAGGTTTGCTGTGTACCTTCGCTCAGCTTTGTGTAAATAGTACTGTAGACTTTCGAACTCAATTCTTCGTTTTGATATTCAGGATCGTCAAACCCACGCGTGACTTAAGTTTCCGTATCGGGAACTTCAACACTCAAATGAGTGTACTCGTCATATTGTGTGCAATTTGATTTCAAGTAAAACAAAAGGTTGAGGGAAACTTGGGGACTGCGTCCACCTGATGAGCCTCAAGGAGGGCGAATGCGGTTGTGAGCTATCAGAGAGTTTTCAGCAACCATACGAACAATGTACTACGTTTATATATGACGCTATCCGCCTCAACGATCCGACAAGCATTTACCAAAGCTAATAAGAAAACGTATTGAAGAATTTTTCAGAACAATCGGCTAGCACGGAGGTATTATGGACCGATCGAGAGGCGTAATTGGGAGAAACCACACCGAGCATACCATTATGCTGAAGAAGTCTTCGGATTTGAGCACGGACCCGGCTCAAACAATTTTACTGCCTTCTTTTCAAGTGGCCGATAAGCTAAGGTGCACCACACCTACTCTGGACTTACTAATTGCTTTCTTGATTCATTCTACCGTCTATCTGGGATTTCCACATGTGTCAGTCTGGATCACGAAGGTAACAAAGAAAGGGCGTAGTTTTTTTGCACCACTTCTCCCAACAGAAACAAAGTAAGAGACTTGCATATTTTTCTTTATTCCTGATACGCAACTCACAATGAGGCTTGCAGTGCAAGCACAATAATAGTGGACAATGAATAATATGGAATTCTTACTAGTATGGTGCTGAGTGCCCCCGTTTGAACTCGAATCACTCACTGCTAATGTCCAAACACGATAACAAAATATATACATTCTTCGTGTTATTGGAAACAATCATCTGCTTTATTTATGACGAAACTTATCAGCTGACATTATGATTTCCTGAATATCCGCATTTCGTCAACTTTCCAGGCATAACTAGGACGGTCAACAACACTGCAGTTTACCGTATTGCCTTCATAAGCCAACGTAACATAAACGAATCAGTTCTAATAGGTTTGAACGAAACTCTATTCGAATAAGCTGTGCTTTTTCTTAGCAGCCTGGTAGGAACTCATCTCCGAGTTTCCGTGCCTATGTTCTTCATGATAAACTGATTTTACTGAGCTCGGATTCAAACCCGAATAAGCCTTCTGTATAAGAATGGGCTTAGCCATAGGTATTTTCGTTGTCGAAACCACTACAAGCTTGAGAAACTGAAGAAAAATAGACATATCTGACGGTACTTCGCGCAGCATATTCAATTAAGCAGGCTGACCGTCAATTTTCGGGATCAAATAAATAGTGTGCGGCACAAAAGAGAACTAGGAGGACCAGCTGTCAACATCAAGGAGATAGACAAATCTATCTGGTATAATTCTGAGTACTTGGAAACCAAACAGGACAGTCTGTGACGAAGAGACTGGACCTTACCGTAGTGTGATGATTTGAGAACCTCCACAATCTTCTGAAATATAGTGGAGGCATTCCTGCGACATCCACAGAGTCTCTCATACCGGGTTAGAGCATCAACGAAAACAGTCACCTGGTCCTCAAGCTTGCGGGTTAGTACATGCGTGAGGACGAGTTCCGTAAAATTGTTACTGTACTACCATTTCCAGCCAGGCACCACTGACTTGCTGCCATGATTTGGTTGAAAACGATATTGGTCCTCCTGCCAAGATGTGGGCACCCAAGCAGTAGCCCACCTCACGTACAACAATGAATTGCACATATATAAATGAATTCATACCACATCGGCCGTCGCATGGCGCCATCTGCCGGGCCGCCTTACTCGCTGCATACTGCAGGGCGGATAGGCGATGCCTCCCTCTGGTCTCCTTCACATTTTTTCTTCCTTCACTTCCCACAACATTAAAAGCTTTCTACCTGTCGGTCCAGCAGTTAGGAATGATGACTCTGTTCCCCCAAAATCGGTTTAGCAGGCAACGTTTGGGCGGCATCCTCAGACATCTCGAAATCAATGCTCAATTCTCGACATCCAGTCTATCTGGCCGCCTTCAATGGCCTCACTCCCAAGCAGGACAAAAAGCTGCCTTTGCTATCACACTGGGCTCACTTAGCATTGATTCTTGCCGTGTGACGGAAACCGGGATTCAGGATGCAAGCACAGCGTTTGAACTAACCACCCCATCACATTCTAGTCGCTTTAGGCAGTGCACCTCTGGCGATTCACAGGTTGCTGTGGGAGGGTGTGCAGGAATCGGTATCCTCCCAAGTCACCACACAGAAGGATCTCTGCTTGACTGGATACCCGTTGATAGTTGCCTGTGTGTTTGGTCTGGGAACGTTTGTGAAGGGATCTAACAAGCGGCAAGTTGGTTGGTGTCTGTTTATCGTGTCTGCTTACGTCCCAACTGACAAGCTGTGACACCATCAAAGACAAGTTTTACGGCACCCTGAATGTCCTGTTGCGGTGAGCTAAAAGCTCAGATATCGTTGTAGATGCCTGAGATCTGAACGCACAAGTGCGCAGGCTCAGCGCATTTAAGACTCAAATGGGTGGATTACATGGACTGGGCAAGGTACGTACGGACATTGGTGAACGGCCACTTCGGCTGTACTTACTTCCGAAGTGGCCGAAGTCGTATGGCCACATGCTGTACTCAAACGGAGTGCCGGCCACGAACACATTGCCATCAGTTCCGGATGGTAGGGATACATGGCTTTGTGCCGGTCAAGGAAGGTAAGACTGGCAACTGAGAGACTGGCAGATCCGGATGTTAGACGAGCTTACTGGAATCGTCTTCTGGAGTTTCTTCCAAATGCTCCAGCATCAGATGTGAGTTCATATTGGGAGGGGAACGCCACCTCTTTGTACAGTGCTGAGAGTTTTGCTTGAGGCACGGCGCTACCAAGCTCACTCAAGCACTATATATCAGACCGAACAGTGGCACTACTCAAATCTCGGAGAAATATCCAGCCGGCCGGGATCATGCCTTGACGTGACGAATTCTCAGAGGTCAAGTGAAAGTGAGTGTGCGTGTGGACGCGGAACGCCAAGGAAACGGCAGAGGCCTTAGAAGTATGGAATGCTCAAAGATTAGTTCATCAGTTGATACGCGGAACGGCTCCCCGGAAGCCTCCTGTTAGCAAAACAATCAAGGAGCAGAATGGTGTGGCCATTTTTTAATAAAGAGCGCCTCGACCGGTGGGCCAAATGCTTCGAGAAAAATATTAAGGCTACCAGCTGCCACTCACCTGGAGCCCACGGTTGACGTGGAACCCGGGAAGATGAACGCGTAATCCGCTACAACATCGGAGGTTTATGACCGTATATGTACACTGAAGTACCACCGAGCTTCCAGTCCAGATGACATTCCACCCGCATTGTTCAAAGAATGGGGGTGAAATCCAGGGGGAGGCACTTAAAGTTGTGAAGTGAGCACTCTCCAATCCTATTTAATTTCGTGATCGATGAAATAAAGAGACGAACGATGGAAGGTCTTCAAAACTCCGGTGTTCAAATAGTCAACGACAGAAACCTTGTTGACCTGGAATATGCAGACGATATCGTTGTCGTCTGCGAACATAAGGTGCGGGTGGTTTTGAATGAACCAACTAACATCCGTCCTTTGGTATGCACTTTGCACCTACAATGTGTAAGGTCATGCTCCTGGATATGTAGTCACCAAACACGCCATTTGAGATCCAGGGAGAGATACTCAGTTGTGGAGCGTTCCATGTATCTTGGGAGTTATATTAGTTCCGATTGTAGTGTAATAGATGAGGTCAACGCACGCACCTGCAAGGCTCGGATCGCGTTTTCTAATTTGAGACACGTATTCCATCGAAACGGTATATCTCAAAATGTCAAGAGAGGTGTGTATCAAGCTAAAGTGCAGGCTGTTTTGTTGTATAGCTGTGAGACTTGGGCTGTTCGAACAGCGGATCTGAGACATTTTCAGGTATTGGACAATCGTTGTTTCAGAACCATAGGAGATGTGGGTTGGTGTCGGCGAATCCGTAACGAGGCAATTAGAAAGCGGGTTTTCGGTTGTGCAACGAGCATTTTCAGTGAAGAACTTGTCCAGCACTAGAAGCTGCCTTGGTTGAGCCATGTGTTGCGTATGCCTAACCACCGTTTGCCGGAGAGTGCTCTTTTCCATGCCCAATTCAGAGTAGTGGGAGCAGAGAGGTGGCCAACCCTTGACCTGGCAGAGGAGTATGAAAGAGATTGCGAGACGTTTGGGTGCTTTCGATGATACTCGCCTACCATAATGGGGGGGGGCGCGTTATCCCCAGTGCGCCTGGTTGGAAACGCTGCAAGGTATGGCTGCTAATTGATGTCAGTGACGTTCTTGTCAGTTCCTGTCCAGATTGCCTGAACGAGTGTCTGGAGGTGTAGGCACTAAGTCCCTTCCCTGTCCATCTTCGTTCTTTTCTCCGCAATAAGGCTTTCAAATAAACCATGGTTGTACGGCAGTGAATCATTAGTGTTCATCATTGATGTCATACTGTCCATTATGATGATGACATAAGACGGTAGTTCAACGGTTACGCAAGTTTCAGTAGATCAACGAACCTGATGAAAGCAGTGGTGGATGACAGAAAGCTGGGGTACAGATCACTCAGCTGAGTTCACCAACCAGGCAAAACAGGTATGCATCGCTAACAGAAGAAATAACGAATATGGTTCTCACGCTCGACAATGCAGGTAGTTACATTTTGTTTTACACCACACTGGTTCGGTATCGTGTTGCCATAAAATTTCACATGGTAGAATGTAGTTATGCGCCATGGAGATAAAGATAACAAAAATGTGGGGTGATGCAATAAAAACTTCGGTATGTTCCAAAGAATGCAAGCTAGAATTACCTGTTGTGTTGCATGACAAAGTCGCATTGGGTGCAGAGTGATTTAAAGCAAAGTGCACGAGCAGAAATTAATTTTGTTCTGTGCAGTTCAATCCTAAGTGCATCCCAGTAATCAACGACCTACAAGCAATTTTCAACAAAATGGCGTGGCTGTCGATGAGGCATCACGGATCGAAGTCACCGTCTATTCTTACGAAGAGAAATTCAATAAGTCAAACCTGACCCAAAATCGCAGCAAATTAGCGTGATTATCCTGCAGCATCTCTTTTAATGGCAAACGCGTCTGCTTTTTGCATTCCTGCTCTCAAAAAACAGCTAGATCGATCAGGTCCTGGCAAATAAATGCAGAAACCGGCTGTAATATACCACCTATGGTTAAGAATGCAAAAAACGAGGCCACCGAGGACGTCAAACTCAAATATATATGCTTAAACTTTTTATTGACTGAGTACTTGATTAATTGCAATTTGAATCCGTGAAAACAGCGGCATCCGGCAAGAAATTTGTTTACACAGGCTACTAATGATGGCACAACGACTTGAGTTGCAAGCTATGCATATTTCCAACTGAACGATGTAACGACCCCACATGAGCTGGAAACAGAGCGATAAAAAGAGACGATAAGCTTAACCACATTACAAATGGTTTCCATGATGTAATATAGTCTTCACCTGACAGCTTGCAATCCAGTCAGCCGTGCCACTGAATAATTCCGGGTGGGCCGGATACAGTCCAGTAAGTTTCGCAACAGCTACCGCGCAGTAAGCCCCTCTGACATCGACCTCGCCACCGATATGCATCACAAAAGATCCATCTGGTTGACGTAATTTCTGTAACCAGTGAAACAAGGCTGGACGATCGATGATATCCAAAGCATCTTTCCAACAAAGCGCTGCCAAACAATTGGTGGCTCCATAAGTTGTTGCCAAATGAGCGAACTGGTAGGGGCCGCCTCCAAAACCGCCTTCTGGATGCTAAGTGAAAAGTGCATCAAAGTAATAAAAATATTCTCCCCTTGGTTCTGTCTGCACATTCGATGCAGCTATCACTACGGATATACGACTGCGAGACCATCTCGAAGTTGTGATACTCTAGGGTAGAAATGAAATACAGTTGCCCCTGTTCTAGCTGGTAACAATAGCTGTTTGTTCCGAGGGGGTCTTAGGATGAACTAAGGACAAAAGGGAAAAAGAAAGGAGAGATTCTCTTTCACAATGGCCATTCCGAAGAGCCTGCACCCAGTAACTTGAACCAAACGCTGACAGCAAGTGTTCCAGTTTCATCACTGGATCGAAGGACCACACAGGAAGTGTTGTATTCATTCAACCACTCCTACACACGCACGCCCGCCTCATGCTGCCACTAGGAACGCGATGTGAAGAAATTACCTAAATAGGACACAACAACCCAACATATGCAGCATAACCATCTTTTTACCCACTTGTCCACACATATCCTCTGGTAGCTTTGCTGTTAGTTCAACATACACGAGATCAGACACCAACGGTCTGAATTGTCTCCAACATTCTCGTCACGAATAAGTGGGCAGAATGAGTCGGATTAAACCATGGGCTCATTCGCATCACAAGATTACCTGTGCCATGGATGCACAGAGTATACAGTAGTTAATACATATATGTACTGTGAACATGGATGTTTTACTCGCGCAAAAATCAATGGAACAAGCCAGTCAACAGGTGCAGGTCAGGACCAAAAATTGGCCAGTACGCGTTCACAAGACTCATGATAGGTCAACACCCCCTGACATGATGCACGTGTAGTTTTCTTCAGGCATTTTACCCTCCTGTCTACTCGTGCGATCGACAGGCGAAGCTCAATAGCATTAAGGAGGTGAATGTCAACTCTGAGATTACCGAATCAGAACCAGTTATAATGGAGAGTACGCTTAGATGAAAAGCAGCAATTAGTTTGTTTTTGGTTTAATGTACATCGGCTAAATGGCCATTCGATTCCTGTAGAGCCTTCAGAGGGAATTAAAAATGAGGATGTTGAAGAGGTGGTGTCTGCTGTCTCCATAACAGTCATTTATCGAACCGTGATGCTTGTAGCGGACCCTTCAACAAGCAAAACGTAGTAAGTAATTTAGTCTAATCAGTCATCAGGTTTGTAGGCGCATTTCGCACCCTCAAAGATCAAGGTTCCAAGTCGAGATTAGAGGGGTGCAACCAGTCAGTTTGGAACCCACAACTAAACATCTCTTCTTGGTAATTTTGTCATTTCTGCTTCTGGTTAACGGATCTCTAGGATTGGGAGAGGCCGTTGGCAGCTCACTCAATGGATTCATCTGTGACATTGGCACTACATTGACCTTTCGGTGGAAAAAGGCTGTACAACGCCATAGCACGACTGGTGCAGTTGTAAAAATGTGGAAAACAGCCCGCTTGTACAGAAAATAGATGGCTCTTTGCTTATCGTTGTCTGCTTAGCACTGAGCACGGGCGGTGGCCGCATCACATAATTTATGCTAGAATATGTTATATGTACAGGACGTCCAGTTGTCGATCGACTGGCAGTTTGATACAACCACAAAAGTTGCGCCAACTCGATCGTGTGTTACACATAACTAAAGACCACTACCTACACTGTTACACATAACTAAAGACCATCTACCTACACTAACCTTATGCTCCAAGATTTGGAGTGGTAGAAACACAAGTGGACTGATTGTGACGTGGGAAATTATTTTCAGAGGCCCTGCATGCCGTCTGCCTGAATGCGGAGCCAAAAACTGACCCAACCGGTAGCTGGGAACCCTCACCAAAATGGAAAGATTATGAAGCAAATGGCGTCCCTGTATGCACTCAAATAAAATTCTCTAAATTTGTTTTGCACGCCCTGTATTCGACACATTCTCATGGTTTAGCTTTCATTTCCCACTGGTCGGCAATTAGGTTCTAGAAAGGGCATAGTTTGTGCTTGTAAACCAAACTGGGCACATAATCGTCAGAAGTTCT